CCATGTTCAGGGGCATGCAGCAATCATGGTTCATCTTATAGAACACATGTTCTCAGTGTAATGGAGCTTGTTTTGGTTGTTCCTGAATGAGTTACTTGATGTGTGCGGTATTGATTTTTCTTATTAATGGAAAAATACATTTATTGTATTTTACACAGCTAGTTTCACTTTATTTGCTCAAGACTAGTCCTTTTGATTCATGAAAACTATTCAATGCTGTGTTTCTGCATATTTTTTATTTGTTAGGCTTTTTGTTTTTTGTTTTGCTGTGGAGAGAAGGGGAAGGGGGAGTACAGAGGGGAGAAAGGTTGGGGCCTGGGCACCTTGTCACATTAGAAAGAGAGGACTGCCTTTCAGGTCACAGGATTCTACTGTAGCTGCAACGTTGAGTGTAGGGAAGGTAGTGACCACAGGCTACACAGACCTCGGGCTCACCATAGCTCCACTGTGGTGTGACTCCGGAAGCAGAGTGTCCTGGTCTTCCTAGGACAGAGTTCTACATGCGGCATCTCACGCAAGTGGAATAGGCTGCTTTTGAAACTAGTAATGTGTGCCTTTTCTTGCTGTTGGTTGGTCTCTGGTCCTTTTTAATGAATTTAAAATTTTATAAAAGCATTTCTCTGGTTAAATAGTGAAAATTTTAATTGATCAGGAATGTTTTATTCATAACCAACCAGAAAGGGAGCTAACTCTCCTATTGATTATAGAAACCATCATAGCCTTTGCCTGGGAGCCAAATGGGAGTAAGTTTGCTGTGCTGCATGGAGAAGCTCCGAGGATATCCGTGTCTTTCTACCATGTCAAAAACAACGGGAAGATCGAGCTCATCAGTAAGTCATCTGGCCATTCTCTAACAAGTGAGCATGATGACAGGACATGGTCACTGCCCAACAGCAACTGTAGGGCTGACCTAGGAACACCCCTGGGCAGGCCTGAATTCATGTGTAAGCAAGTCCCCCCTGGCCATAAGTGACACAATTGAGTGGTGATGAGGATAGTGAAGACTCCTGAGGGAGCATTTCACCTCACAAAGGACTCAGGCTCCCTCTAGCTTCTACTGGGCCCTTAATTTATGTTTCTAAGACTGCCATTCTCTGCCATTGTTTTTTTTTTTTTTTTTTTTTGAGACAGAGTCTCACTCTGTTGCCTGGGCGTGAGTGCCGTGGCGTCAGCCTAGCTCACAGCAACCTCAAACTCCTGGGCTCAAGCGATCCTCCTGCCTCAGCCTCCCGAGTAGCTGGGACTACAGGCATGCGCCACCATGCCCGGCTAATTTTTTATATATATATCAGTTGGCCAATTAATTTCTTTCTATTTATAGTAGAGACGGGGTCTCGCTCTTGCTCAGGCTGGTTTTGAACTCCTGACCTTGAGCAATCCGCCCGCCTCGGCCTCCCAAGAGCTAGGATTACAGGCGTGAGCCACAGCGCCCGGCCCTCTGCCATTGTTTTGAGTAAAGTCTTTTCTCTCATGGTTGTAGCTGCTCTCTCTGGGCCTTGGGTTCTTTGTGGGCCTACCCGCAACCCCTGGGTTGGGTCCCTGTAATCTGACTGCCGGGCGTGCTGCAGAGCTGTGGCATGTGGTGTGCCCTGCCCCAGCCACCCTGCTTACAGGAGCGAGTGGGCATTGAAACCCAGCCACCCTCCACCTCTCCCAAGGGGCTCGCTCTCATTCTCAGGCTGGCCCAGGTGCCCTCCCCTCTCACAGCAGTGCTTGCCCTTGCCCCTTGCCCAGGCAGGCTCCCTGAGGACGTTCTCACTCTTTTGTCCTTGAGTCCTGCCCGTGGAACAGACTGGCAGGTACAGTGGGACTGAGTGAACATTGTTGCTGCTTCATAAGCATTTTTGTTGTCCGTGTGGCTGCTGTACGTGGTCTCATGCCATGTTCCATATGCTGCTGGTCCTTCACACAGAACTGGCCCTCGGTGCCAGCCCGGATAGCTGTGGTCTGTCCCAATGCCTGAGGGATTTGTGTGCATCTGCAACACATTTTAACAAGATAATTCAGTAAAGAATTCAATTTTCACTTTGCTAGAGCTTAGCAGTTTTTGTGGTAGAATCAGTTGGCTGTAGCACAGAATTGGTTGCATTATTAATTCTCTGATATAAAAATATGGGAAGTTACAGACTCTTGTAACCTGCTTATAATATAGGTCATAAAATTGGTAGTAAGTAAAAGTACCTCTGCCTTCTGAATATTTTGTGTAACACATCTTTCCTTAGGTTCTGTGTAGATGCTGGGGTTATCCTGTGTCTGTGACTGTTGGGGCTGTGTGCTTATGTAGGTTTTCATGGGGCAAGTTTGGGGAAACTGTCCCTGCCAAGGTGACGTCTGCCTTCCACATCTTCCCCCTCTCCCAGTCAGCCCCACGCTTTGTAGCTACTGTGGCTGAGAAGGACTCCTCAGGTTAACTCTGTCTGGAACGCAGGGATTGCTGAGACACCTGTCCAGTTCCTCTGCCTGGGGTCCCTTCAGAATGTAAGTTCTTAGGAGCACATTTGACTTACAGAAAGGTTTGTGTCACTAGAAGAGTGGCTCTTATCTTCTGGGGTTACATATCTGACAGTCCTCTCCCCAAGTCACTGCAGGGATGAATATTTACTGTAAAGGGAATTTTTTGTCCAATTACCTTGTCAAATAAAAAAAAAAAAAATCAATGTGACAGTTCTAAAAATACCCCTGCCCATTTTTTTCCTTTTTTATTTTAAGTATGGGTCATAACACAGTGTGCTTCTTGGTGGGTTTTCTAAAATTATTTTCAAAGTCTGTTTTCAGATCTACCCGTAGGGGCTGTGTGGACCTGTTGCCATGTCCTTCAGTCTTGGCGCCAGTTTGACTGTAGAGTCATTTACAAAGACATGTCATGGACGCTTTCCTTTCTTCTAGGAATGTTTGATAAGCAGCAAGCAAACACCATCTTCTGGAGCCCCCAGGGGCAGTTTGTTGTGCTGGCCGGTCTGAGAAGGTAGGTGTCTGCCATCTGGGCCATGAGAGGCTCTGCCTGCTGCAGTGGAGACCTGGCCCTGGAGCCCGTGTCTCATGCTTGGCTCTGAATGGTCAAGCATTGCTCTTCCTCAAGATTCTTGGTAGGGAGAATATTTCCAAGTTGAAAGGATCATCCCAGTGTCCATAGATGAGCCACTGTCATACCCTAGTACAGGGGTCCTCAAACTTTTTAAACAGGCCAGTTTACTGTCCTTCAGACCGTTGGAGAGTGCGGCGCACATTCCACACATGCGCACTGTGGGCCCGGGACAAGTCGGCTGCTAAGCAGGACAGGCAGCAGCGGCAAAAACTCCCAGCAGGCCAGATAAATGTCCTCGGCGGGCCACAGTTTGAGGACTGCTGCCCTAGTATATCCGTCAGACTCCCAAGACATAGGCCAGGACCAGGCCAATTAAGACAATTGTTCACAAATGCTTTCATTAAATGACAGAGCAGACATGTACATATTGTAATTACTTCGTGGTTAAACAAGTACCTTTCCAGCAATCCAGTTACCCTCATGTAAAATCAATCCCATGTCTTCTAGCAGGAAAAATACTTAGACAGCTGTGAGACTTCCTTACTGTAGTATAATAATGAGAACGTAAACTTGGCCTTCCCTTGCTCCCCTGCTCTGTGGCCATTCCAACAGAACGTGTAGGAATCATGAAAAAACTTACAGCATCTGCCTTTGAGTTAAAAAAATGTCTCTTTTGGCTGGGTGCAGTGGCTCACACCTGTAATCCTAGCACTCTGGGAGGCCAAGGTGGGTGGATCGCTCAAGATCAGGAGTTTGAAACCAGCCTGAGCAAGAGCAAGACCCTGTCTCTACTAAAAATAGAAAGAAATTAATGGGCCAACTAAAAATATATAGAAAAAGTTAGCCGGGCATGGTGGCGCATGCCTGTAGTCCCAGCTACTCGGGAGGCTGAGACAGAAAGATTGCTTGAGCCCAGGAGTTTGAAGTTACTATGAGCTAGGCTGACACCACGGCACTCTGGCCCGGGCAACAGAGTGAGACTCTATTTCAAAAAAAAAAAAAAAAATGTTTTTTTTTTTTAAATTTCTCCTGCTTCATTGTAGACTCTTGATGGTATATTTTTGGTGGCTTATTTAGCCTCCTTCATGTTTCCTGTAAGAACAGGAATAGCAGACACAGGTAGTAGTCATTATGTGTACTTGTCATAATTCGATAGATCTTCAAAACAGCCCTATGAGATTATCACCATGATTATTTCCATGTTAACAAAGAGGCCACTGAGGCAGAGGTTGGGTGACACCTGAGACCACAAGACAACTCCCTTGGGACCTCACATCACAGAGCCTTTCACGGGATGGGGTACTGGGGGAGAAGTGCGTCTCTGTGAAGACTGTCGTGTTTGTCTCTGCAGTATGAACGGTGCCTTAGCGTTTGTGGACACTTCGGACTGCACGGTCATGAACATTGCAGAGCACTATATGGCCTCTGACGTCGAGTGGGACCCTACTGGGCGTTATGTTGTCACCTCTGTGTCCTGGTGGAGCCATAAGGTACAGGGGCCTGTGTAGCCTTGGCCACAGAATGAACCCAGGGAGTGCTGGGCTTGCACTGTGCTTAGCACCTCAGGGAAGGAGTGCCAAGCCTGGCACCGACCCCCTGCCTGATCTCATCAGAAAAAACTTGACATTTCCGTTTTTAACTCTTGGACTCATCATCTCTGTCTTTGTTGTTGGAAGTAGGAGGAGTCTGGGATTGCAGAAAAGGTAGAGCCGTGTGCAGGAACAGCATGCGCTCATGGGAAGGGGTCACATCCTAGGGGCCAGAGACCCCTGAAAAGGGGTGAGCATGTTGTGCACAGGTTCTTTTCTGGGAGGAGGAGTCATTTCCTTTAGAGTCTCAGCAAAGATCTGTAGACAGTTCAGATCTCTGCTCTGTCAGGGTCAGAGTTTGAGTACAAACCACCTTTCACTAGTTATTCCCTAACTGTGGTGTAGTTAACTGAGGGCTTTTTGTTTGTTTGTTTGTTTGTTTTTTCTTAACAAAAGTTTATTCTTAAATGTACAATAGGCTCCAAGACAACACTTCATTTTAGCTATAGGTGGCAAAAGATGTTATGGCAGGGAATACAGATGTTTAAATAGGAATCAAGGGTCATCATCGCCTCAGGCACAAGAACAGCTTACTTTTTGCTAGATTTCTTAATTCCACCGGTAGCCAGGGGGCCCTTCCCTGCGGCCTTCGCTTTTAGCTCCTCGAGTTTCTTCTGCTCTTCTTTTTGTTTCTGCTTGAACGCCTTATCTTTCTCGTCCATCTCCTTGGTCTGCTTCTTGGGCTGTTTCAGGGGCTTTTTCTTGCCACTTTCACGGCCGGACATGGCGGCGCCGCCCCTTGCCCAGATCCTGCCGTTGGAAAAAGGCTTTTTGTTTGTTTTGTTTTTTTTTTTGAAAACCCACGTGAGTAGAAGGGCTTTTTGTTTTTAATGACTATTTTTTAAAATTGATTCAGATTTTGATAGTTGAAACCAGTTTATGCAGATAGAGCCTATGAAATCAAATGAGGGAAATTCTGGCCAGGTGCAGTGGGTCACACATGTAATCCCAGTACTTTGGGAGGCTGAGGCAAGAGCCCAGGAGTTTGAGGTTGTAGTGAGCTATGATCACAGCACTATACTCCAGCTGGGGCGACAGAGCAAGACCCTGTGTCTCAACAAAAAATTTGGGTAACTCTGTTTAATGAGATAATGAACTTTTAGGACTACCAGCTTCCCAGACATCACCGTAGACAGTGTCTTAAGTAGAAATCTTTACATTCAGATCAGAATATGTTGGCTATGGCCTATTGTCCAGATGTGTTCAGTTGTCACCGCAGTGAGGCCTTACTTACCTTGAGGCTTTAAAAAATCCTTTTAAACTGTTGACCACTCAGTTTTAAATACAAACACTCATCTCCCAAAGTTCTGGTTTTAATAGGGAGATGCTAGTATGTAAATTATAGCACTGCTTTCTTCATTGGGGAAGTCTTGCTGTGAAAGGCAGCTGAACTAAACAGTGTGTTGAATGATGTGGTCAGTTTATCTTTTGGCACAAGTTTCTCATTACAGACCAGTAATGAACAGCCCTGAGCTTTGGTTAGCACTGTTCTAACTACCACATACACTGTACTCTGATTCATAACATAATTTGTATCTTTTGTTTACTGTCTTCCTCTTGCTGAAATGTGAGCTCAGCAATGGCAGAGATCTTTTTTTGTGCACTAATGTATCCCAAGTATCTACAACACCGTTAGCTAATAAAGTAGTTGATGTTGGCTTTGTTGACAGTGAAGACTCCAGGGCCTCCTCTCTGTCCCGGGGTCACTTGCTAGGATGGAGTGGCCAGCTCAGTGTGACCCCTGCTCCCCTCCAGGTGGACAATGCTTATTGGCTGTGGACCTTCCAAGGACGCCTGCTGCAGAAGAACAACAAGGACCGCTTTTGCCAGCTACTCTGGAGACCTCGGCCCCCTACACTGCTGAGCCAGGAGCAGATCAAGGTCCGGCGTCCTCCCCCCTCCCCCCAGGCTCCAGATATGGAAGCAGTTGTGGCATTAAAGAGAAAGAGTTGTTTTTGTTGTTAGGGTGGTAATGAGTGGGGAATGGGAACCCGACATTTATGGGGGACCCTTTGAAGAGATGTAAGAACAATGAGAACTAAATGGAAAAGAATAGTTTTAGGATAGTAAACTTAAATTTTCAAGTTGTTTAGGAAGTTTTGCATGACCTAGAGGGGCAGATAAAAAGATGCCAGGGGTTGTTAGAAACTCCTGGTAGGATTAGAAGAGCCTTGTCTGGGATTTACATAATTATGGTGAAATAGGCTGATGGTATTAGGTCAAAGCTAAGAGGAGAGTTAAATCCCAAGAAAGCGAGTCAGTCTCGGGGAAGAGAAACTTAGTGAAGAAAATGTGTTTGAGCACTCCTGGGGAGCTGTATTCTATTAATCACTGAGGATGTCATTTCATGTTGGGAACTTTGAAGATTGCGTTTGTGGTGCTCACTTTGAATGTTAAATCCTGAGTGACTGGTCTTTTGTTTCAGCAAATTAAAAAGGATCTGAAGAAATACTCTAAGATCTTTGAACAGAAGGATCGTTTGAGCCAATCCAAAGCCTCAAAGGTGAGCCTTGTTCCCAGAACCTAGAGCAATGCTAGTGACAGCCATATCCTGTGGTGGCAAAGAAGGGCCAGTGCCAGGGCTGAGAGGCAAGGGCTGCTGGCTGTCTGCACAGGGAGAAGGCAGGAGAAGGGCTTCTGCCCTGAGGTTGCTGGCTTGTTCTGCTGCCAGGGCGGACCTGCAGCACAGGGCGGAAGGCCTGATGGTAGTCTTGTTGGCGGTGGCTTTCCATTTGTGGGGGTTTGAGGAGGCAGTGTCAGGAAGACAAATGAGAATAAAGAAGTCATTCTGCCATTCCTGGCTGAGAGTCTCTCTCTCTCTCTCTCTCTCTAAATGACATCCTTCTGACACCATTGATTAGGTGTGGATCACTCGTGGCAAAATGTTTTTTTCCCTGTGGTTGAATAAAAACTTGGTGGTGAGTAAAGTATCAGCTCTGTAACTTCTCCCAACTTTATACTTAGGAATTGGTAGAGAGAAGGCGAACCATGATGGAAGATTTCCGAAAGTACCGGAAAATGGCCCAAGAACTCTATATGGAGCAGAAAAATGAACGTCTGGAATTGAGAGGAGGTAACTTAAATGTTCTTAAATTATCCATAACTGAGTGGTCCCCTCCACCCTCAGGCCCAAGCACACCTTCCTTGGCAGGAGGGCCTTGCTGTCCCCTGCTTGACTCTCAGCTGGTCTGCAGCCTATGTGACACCCACTCTTTGTCCCCACAGGGGTGGACACGGATGAGCTGGACAGCAACGTGGATGACTGGGAAGAGGAGACCATCGAGTTCTTTGTCACTGAAGAGATCATTCCTCTCGGGAACCAGGAGTGACCTGGAGCACTGTGGTAAGGGTCTCCCAACAGGGCACTCCATGTTCTGTCGGCTGTTTCTGTGCTGCTGTTGCTACCCCATGAATTAGAAAATACCTTATTTAAGGTGTGAGTGAAGATCCAGCACCAGGTACTGAGGGTTAGTAAAGTCTCATATGAAATGTGAAGAGTAAGTACAATCCGGCCTTGGGTCCTCATATGTGGGAGGTGGTGCCTTTCAGTATGAGCCATGGCCCGGGCAGACCCCTGCATTGGTGGGAAAGGGAGGGAAGGGAAGCTGCCACCTGGCTGTCCCCAGGCATCTTTGCTGGTGGGCAGCCCCGGGTCTACCAGAGAGGAAGGCTGGCATGAGCGGCAGGGATTCCCAGTGCCGGGCAGTTTCCTGTCCTGAGACAAGCAAGGTGTGGCAAAGAGCACAGCTCGGGCTGCCTCAGTGACGCAGACAGGGCCCTTACAGCCTGTTAGGATGGTGTCATTTGTGGTTGCCATGCCTGCTCATCCAGGGCCTGAAGCCACCGATGATCATTCCTACTGTGGGTCGCCATTCAGTCGCAGGACCGAGAGTAAGCAGTTGTCCCTTTGTTGCAGCGGCGCCGTGTCCTGTGCAGGAACGAGGCCGTCCCCTTGCAGGAAGCCTGCACGACTCCTGGATTTTACCTGTGCTTTCTTCTTGCTCTGGACTGTGAACGCACCTGGGATTCTTCCATCTCAACACATTTTTGTGCCTTTAAACCCCTGGTGTCCACAGTAGGGGAGGTCTTAAGGCACTGCTTTCACTTTTTTCTTGTTTGGGGTTTTTAATCTGCACCACCGGTGTTTGCTATGTAGACTGCTGCAGCACCACGGTGGGCGCCTTTTTGCCCCTGCAGCCAGTGGCATTTCCAGGGTGTCCTGTCTGCAGTTGGGCGATGTCTTCAAGAACTGCTGTCTGGTGTGTGGCCACTGCTGGTGTGTCCTGGAGACCAGCAGGGAGCGGCGCACCGCTTGTGCCCCAGCGTGCTCGGAAGGTGCCACAGCACCTCCCTGCCACTCGAGCTATGGCAGGTTCTTAGCAGGTTGACCGTGGAAATAAAAGCAAACCTGTATAAAAAAGCTGTCTTTCTCCTCTCTCTGAACATAGATAGCGACCTTGAATTTGGTACCTGTGTCCCATTCCCAGTGGTTTGGGCCTCCTTGCCGAGCCAGAGCTTCCGGGCACCATCACATTCTATTGTCACGTGTACATGCAGCTTCGCTGGGAGGGCGGGGAGAGCAGCCACCTCTGCTAGGCTGTGTGTAAACTCCAGCCAGTCCAAAATATTAAAACATTATGCCTCTGCTTTTTTGTTTTCTTTGAAAAAATGCTTATGATTTACCTGATGAGAATCCTTTAGACTTTTCCTTGGAGTTAGACAAATTGGAACGTTTGTATTGAGAATCATCAGTTTAGCCATTATCATCTCGTCCTTTTTGAATATTTAATTTTTCTTTTCCCCTCTCAAAAAGGGAGCAAACAAATCCACACGATTTCAGTCCATTTCTGTCTGCCATGTCTTGCCAACCCTCGGTGCCTTGGGAGGTGTGGTCTTGTCTCTTGCTCATAGAGCCTGCAGTTGAGTTTAAGAGCAGAGCGGTATGGGTGGCACACTGGGTCACAGGGGACTCACAGATCTATGGCAGTGTTTTAAGACTGCAGGAGAAGCTGTAGTTTATGGGGACAGGACAAAGGCGAGATGCCCTGAGGAGCAGGGTTGGCCACTGCCAAGAGTAACCAGAGTAAATGGCCTCTGGGATTCCGTGGGGACCCTCCAGAGTCTTGACTGCCAGCTCAAGTGACTGCCACAGGTTCGCTTTCACCAAGGCCTCTGGTTGCCTCAGTTTCCCCAGGTGCAGGGGAGGCACTTGGTACTTTTCCTATCTGTGAGCCTTACCTTTCTCCAATCGGTGATCTTTCTAATCGTTAGGCTCATCCTGTGCCCATTAGGGCACATTTCAGTATCAACTCTTGTTTGCTCATGTTCTTTGAGCTGGTGTACTGAGAGACAGTTTTTCTAATTTCAGGGAAGAACGATCATATTAACAGATTTTTAACAGAGCTTTTAAAAAATTAACTTTCCACATTTTTAAACTTACTAGTTGTAATTGTTTCACATAATTTGTAAATAAAGAATTTCAGAAACACTTGTGCTTGTTTTATCTCCTGTGTAGACATGGCTTTCCGAGGGCCAGCCCTTTGAAGGGGGAGTTCCTGGGTGTTGGAGTGCCCAGTGCTCTCAGGCTCAGGGGGTGTTGGTGTGGGCTAGGGCCCCCACGGCAGGCCCTGTCTTGGTGGCATCTCCAGAAGGCCAGAGGCAGTCAGGATAAGATTATTGGGAGGCTGAGGCGGGAGGATCGCTTGAGCTCGGGAATTTGAGACCAGCCTGAGCAAGAGCAAAAGACCCTGTCTCTACTAAAAAAAGAAGAAAAAAATTAGCTGGGCACGGGGTTGTGTGCCTGTAGTCCCAGCTACTCGGGAGGCTGAGGGAGGAGGATCACTTGAGCCCAGGAGTTTGAGATTTCAGTGAGTGAGGGTGATGCCACAGCACTGTAGCCCAGGCAACAGCGCGAGACTGTCTTAAAAAAAAAGTGCTGGGGTTCATAGACCTTACTACTCAGCAAGTTTCTCACACAGGA